AAAAAACAACTGTGACCTATTTGGTCACATATAGCGTCTTTCAGTTCCAGTATTTATTGTATTCACTTTTATTCATACAATTTAAACACATTATCCAAAATATAAATGGCAATTCGCCATTCATTCATTAATTGTTAATGCTTGCCTTGCAGATTGCATGACATGTCTCCACATCAGATGAAAAGAAGGTGTCAATATAATTAAAATATAACCTACCAACTGGAAATACAGATTTACAAAATGTATTTAAAAATAGTATGCAAAATACATCTGAAGTTTCAGTCTTAAAACTCAGTGGTCAAGATTCATGAGAAGTGCAAATGCACATAAGACATGAGTGGAGACCAAATGCTCATGTGACATAGGTGTATTTAAATTATTTTTGTGTTCACACAATGTATGCCAGCCTATTTCCCCTATATTATATCTGAATTTCATAATCCTGCCAAATGCAAACTGCTAATGAGAATATGGAGTGACATGGGCATGTACTCTTTGTTGGTGAGGTTGGAATATATTCCAGAAGGTTTGCAGATCTCTAAAGAATTTTTTTCTGTTGTTTATTCCCCCATCAAATGAAACCTAAACCTACCATGCACAATAGGAATTACATTCTTAGACGTTTACTCAAATTAATTCAAATTTATGTTCACTCACCTGTAGCCTGCCTTTGAATGCCCACAACAATATAGATGGATAAAATGTGGTTCATCCATACCATGAAGTGTTATGGACTTAAAAGAACTGAAACGTTGAAAAGAACATAGAGGTGATATGACAGTAAGTAGAGGTTATGCAACCATAGAACGCCAGTTCAGGGAACAAGAGGTGTTGAAAAGGAGGTAAGGGTTTAACAACAGGACATATACGAAAAGGGAGCCGAAAGGAGGCTACCAATAGTTGGCGAGCACAAGAGGAGGGCTGTTCAAATAGGAGTGAAAAGTGTGAAGAGTCCTTTGTTTCATGTCCTGTCTGTCCATTTTGTCAGCAGTTGATTCAAGGATACTTCGTTGTCCAGTGGCTAACTTTTGCCACAATGAAAGTTAACTCCATATGCAGTTTCTTCAATGCCCATATTTTTTCTGAAGTAGATTGGTACTGCCAGGAGCCGACATGTCTCATAATCATAACAAAAAAGAAAAATTTTCTAAGTTATTAAAACATTTTAAATGCCATATTCTGTAGATCTCTGAAGGGTTTGAAGATGACCTGTCTAAAATATATCTGCTCAATTTTTAAAACATATCTAATATGACTACAACTTCTATTGTAATGTCTAACTACTAACTTTCATTTCTTTTTTTTTTTTTTTATTAATTTATTTTGCAATACAATTCAGTTCTACATATCAGCCACGGATTCCCTTGTTCTCCCCCCTCCCGTCCCCCTCACCTTCCCCTCAACACCCCCCCCCATTCCCATCTCCTCCAGGGCAAAGCCTTCCCCACAGACTGAGGTCAACCTGGAAACAAAGGACTACTGATTCTTGCCAAAACGAATGTGGTTATGGCTTTATCAAAAGGCATCTTCTGAGGCCAGGACAATATGGCACCATCCCTGAAGTGGCCTTCGCAATTTGGAAAAGGTACAGTGCCCTTTTCTTCGAAGGCAGCTGAATAGGCAGTGGGCCGATGGCTTCTGATGTGCAATGGAACAGCAGCTGAAACAGTTATTCTTGAAGAGTAACTAAGCTCACGCCTCGCAATAGTAAACTGGCATTTGACAGAGGGATGTGGAGAAGAACGGGATGTTAAGATGAAGCCATATATACACAGCCAAGAATGGACAGCTGAATTAAAAAATCAACAACAATTTCCAGAATTTAAAATCCTGAATCATGACATGACACTAGTGGAATTCAGGTGTTTCTGGTACATGGACTGCTCTCACCCAATGTGAGGTTGAACTGTCGACCTTGTGTACATCCTACTTCACAAATGAGTCTGTCAGATATGCTAAGCCTATAGGCTGAAGATGATGCCCCAACACTGTGGAGAAACCTCAGGTGACTGTCCAGGCAGCTGGCTGTTTCTGTCAACTCACAAATTTTTTGGAAGTTGCTTGCATGCACTTTCTGTTTTTATTTTTGTTAGCTAATATTATTTCCTTCTTGGGTCTCTGAGGGAGTTGAAGATTAGTTAGTTATAGTTGAAGGTTAGTTAGTTATAGTTGAAGATTAATTAGGATAGAAAGTGAATTAGATACATTTTGGACTTAACAAAATAGGATAGATAATGAAATTATTTTCTCTGAATTTGTCAAATACAAATGGACTAGACATTGTTTAGACATTTATTACTTGTATATATTGTATATAGTCATTGTACTTTTGTATATAGTTTTTCTTTTGTTAGTTATAACCTTTTTCTTTTTTTTCCTTTTTATTAAAATAGAAAAGGGGAAAAAAAAAAAAAAAAAAAAAAAAAAAAAAAAAAAAGAAAAGTGTGAAGAGAAAAATGCCATAATAAAAATCTAATATGTTGAATGCTAAAGAATCATGCATTTTAAAAATTTAGGGAAGGTTTAAAATTGTATTGTATGCAAATTCTATACATTTTTCTTTGCAGACATTCTAACTGGAAAGCTTTCTAAAGTAATGTCTATAAACAATCTGGTGACAATAAAAGATATAAAGATCTCAAGTGCTCAAGGTGATGAGAAATGTATAGGGAGACTGCAAGCCACTTTTACATCACATGCGACTCTATACACTACTATTCTAATGTGGACAAGATAATATTCATTTTTTCTAATCACAGAATTTGAAATGCAGAGCATGACCTTGAAAATAATCCATCAATATTTGTTAACATTCTAACAAAATTACTTCTTCAAGTATATATACTAAATATGTGTCGGTGTAGGTCAAAGAATCATTAAAAACTCCCAAGGGCCGGGAGCAATGACTCAACAGTTAAAAGTAAATATTGTTCTTGCAAGGACAAGACTTCTTTTCCCAGTTCACAACTCCTTTAACTCTGGCTTCTGTGGTCTGTCTGTTCTTCTGACCTCTGTGGCACTCTGCTCATGTGCGCAAACCCATCCACACACAAATAACTCAAATTGTTTCTATATATTACCATTGCTCTACACAGTTCAATGGTTTTAAGAAGTGAACTATGTGTTTTTAGTCTATTTTTCAAATGAATGATTATAATGAAGACAGTTGCTTGAAAGCTTTTCCTGGAATATATAATAGTAAAGAAAAAAAATAAAGATAGCTATAGATGAGAGAGAAAAAAAAGTGAACTAATGAAGTGCTGGAGAGATGTTCAGAGTACCCCCTGCTTTTGCATATGACCTCTGTTTGGTTCTAAGCATCCACATGAAGAGACTTACTCTTTCCTGTAACTCCAGTTGCAGAAGATGCAAACCCTCTTCTGGAACCGGTGGGCACCTGCACTGGTGCACATGCAGACAAGTAAGCATGCATACATACACATAAGTAAAAAACAAATTAATAATGAAACCCCCAAATTGTTTATGTAAATGATGAGACAACTTATTTTTATTGTTGTTGTTAAAGTAGGCAAGAAAGATAAGGCCAAAAAAATGATGTTCTTTTTGAAAACTCATTTATAATTCATTATGACTGTGTTTCATTGGATGAAGAATCCAGTTCATCACTGACACTTTTTTTTATCAGTTTTTAGTATGATTATAATAAAATTATAAATTTTATTAATTTCCTGGTGTTGGGTATGTACTGAGTCAGGGTTAATTGAATTATCAACATTATAAATCAACTAAGAAAAAATGAGTCACTTTGTATTCAAAACTACTTCATTTATATAAAATAAAAAGATTAGCTGTAAAATTTATTTGTTTTTCATTTTCTCATATGTTAAACTTAAGCAATTATCCCAGATTAATACCTACAATTTTATAATTTTCATAATTCAAACTATGACTTTCCCTATAATTTTCCCCTCTATACTCTTTTCTTTTATTACTGATATTACATTGCTGGGTGGGTTATTATATCATATTTTACATTTTAGAATCATTTTATACAAACTTTGAGAAGAGTATACTTTGGTTCTTCTAATCTTTAAATTTGTGTGCGTGCGTGCGTATGTGCGTGTGTGTGTGTGTGTGTGTGTGTGTGCGCGTGTGTGTGTGTGTGTGTGTGTGTGTGTGCGTGTGTGTGTGTGTGTGTGTGTGTGTGTGTGTGTGTGTGTGTGTGTTATGTGTGTGTGTTTGTTAGGTGTTGGAATGCATATAGAGGTCAGAGGACAACTTGTAAACTTAATTTTCTCCTTCCACCATGTGGTTTCTGTGGCTCTATAGGTTGCTAGGCTTGGTTATAGTTCTTTTACTCACAGAATCATTTCACTGGCCCAAATATATAATGAATATTTTTGCACTTACTATTTATGCAGTTTCTTGTAATTTTAGTACCTTTACAAACTGATCATTGTCAGTGATAAATTCTATTAATAATGATGAATATACTGTGTCTAATTCATCATTTTTCCAACTACAATTTTGTGTGTTTGTTTTGGTCCAAACAATTCAGGGTAAACACAGAATTTTCTCTTTACATATGTCACACATATGAGTCTTTCGATTTATCACATTTTTTTACACACATACACACACACAGAATTTTTTACATTTTTACAGACTATTTTTCAAATGCCTCCCAGTTTGTCTTTGATGTGGTCACATGGTTAAAATGCACGCTGTTTGATACTTTTGTCTCTGTGAAAGTTCAGTATCTTCCATTCTTGGCTACTGTTTGTAAGTCTGTCACAAAGTGAATTTCATCCTAGAACTATCTTCATACATATGCAATGACCTTAACTTTAGACAGAATTAAAATGTGTTATATAATATTTTGCAGTGTTATAATTCACCCTATAAGGTGTCACTATGCTAAAGTATAATATATATGAATGTGAACCAGTATGTAATAGGTTTAAGATTACTGTATCCAGAATTGGGAGATAATGAAAACACTCTGTTCTTTTTTGCTTTGGAATTTCAGATAAGAGTACTCAGAAGTAGCAGAGATAAAAGGAGAAAGCAAGAAATAATTCAAATGCAGAAGGCAATTCAAGTCTCTGCAGCAATTCTCAATAGCGTTATATATAGAAATCAGATCAGTCATTGTTTTCGAGCCTGCTAAATAAAACTGGACTGCTGGAATGGCATGCCACTTGACCTCTCAGGACTACCACAGCAGTATTTAACTGGTGCAAAGGGAGCAAGCACTCTTGCAAGTGTCTCCTGCTTACATGCCAGATTCCCCTGACAGTTCCCACAATGTTCAAAAGGCACAAGTCCCTGGAACGCAAGAGGGAATTATTATCCCAGGGACTTCCACAGTCCACAATGAAGAACAATACAAGAAATTTCCACTCTCTGTCACAACTTGTGCTCTCAGCAGGCCAGCTGAAAACAGCTCGAGCAGTCAAACTTTCAAAAACAACTCACTTTGAGATTGAAATACTGGATGCTCATACAAGAAAACAGATATGTGTTGTGGATAAGGTAAGCTTTATTTATCTTTTGAAATGTTTCTTGTTAAGCACACAACTACGGACGTCTCATTTACTTGACAGAACTTTGCTAAATGCATTTCTAATTTTTAAGCTTATATTTTTTTAGTAACGAGATGCCTTATTTACTGTCTCAACAAAAATCATTTGCTGCATTTTTATGCGTACTTCAAGATAATAATTTTAATTAATATTTTTGCTTCATTGCCTGTTGTGTTGTCCATAATCCCAGAGTGAAACATTTATCGGGAAACACAGATTGGATAAAAGATCTTCTCTTCATGCTTTTATAGCAACAAAATGTATGCCATTTAACAGTGTATGTAAAAAACAGGAAGTAAAACTCACAAAAGTTAAAAGTATTTATCATGTATCTAAAATGTAGGCATTTTAGTACATTGTTTTGAGTTGTTTACTTTTCTAAAATTTTCACCTTTTTAAAGCACAGTCTTCAAATTCTTAGAGTATAGCTTATTTAATGCACCATCTCTCTCCATCTGCATACAGATGTTTCAAAAAGAATGATAAAATTTCAATATCTTAGGTTAGGAAATTGTAGTATGAACCCTGGAGATGTAAGTACATAAATCACATACCAATACGTTTCTCTTATTTAAAAAAAAGTAACTTTAATTTATTAGAAGAATGATGTTTTCAATAAAAAAAATTATGTATTTTGTTTCATAGAGACACAAATGTTTGTTGTTTGTCTAAACAAAACATCCGATCAATTATTCCATTTAACCATGCCACAAGTGGACTGCTAGATAAGGGTGCTAATTAGAAACTGTCCACTTCCCTTCATAACTGTCTAAAACATTATATATTTTTAAACTTAATAACTATAATTATGGGTAACTTGATAGTTGAAAGAAATGATTTACTTTTAGGTACAAAATAAATGCTAAGATGTGTTGCATTTTAATTCAGGTCTCAAATAACACTGGGGAAATTCCAATAATCTGTTTGTATCTAAATGCAAATCATACACATCTATATTTCTGTAGGTGACGACTGTGTTTTATGTAAAGGGAAATTTGATATATAGGTTTCATACGATAAATTTCTGTTTAATGTAAATGTGTTTTATTTGCTTTTTGAAATAATGCTTTCAGGAATGTGAAAACTTAAAACTTTAAGCCTCGTGAGAGACAGCTGACATTTGTAGTATTTTAGTATCAAAATGTCTGATTGTATAAAACGTGCAGAAGAGAGAATAAAGCAGTGAACAAAATGGAAGGGAGTAAGTTAAGATTTTATACCTTATAAAATAGTAAGAAATTAAACACTTTCTAATTATTGCTTCCATACCTAATATTTTCTTTAAGGAAATTAGAAAAATTTCACTTGCATAAGATTAAATTGGAAAAAAAAAGGAAGGAAAAAAAATCAGAAAGTCACTCTCTTAGGAATTCCACACTTCAACTGTGAAAGTCCTTGGACTTGCCTCTGCAGTGGTAAATATTATTAGAAACAACTATACAAATAAGGGGTTGACTTTGGGTTCCTCACCATCCCTATTTGATTTTCTTTTTCTTCACCCATTGTCCCACTGTTCTTTTGGTTTTTTTTCCCCTCCTTATGGGAGATTCAACCCAGATCACAGTACATGCTATGTCAGTCACCTACTACAAGCTGACCCCCCCACAAAAAAAGATGTAAGATTTTGACATTTTAAATAAAATCTCTGCTTTGCATTGATAAGTTTCTTCTTTTGTTTCTGTTTTTTTTTATTTAATAATTTGGTGAGTAGTCCAAAGTGATGAAGGTATATGAGAGAAAAGAGATATGGATGAATTGCATTTTTGATTACTCTTTTCATAGTTTCCAGGAGTTTGAATTTTTAATCATAGTAAAGACTAATTCTGTGCGTTAGTTTTATACTTTATTGTCTTTCTCATGGGAATTATGGGGTAAATAAGAAGTGTCCCATTTCTCTTATTATAGGGGTGTCATTTTGGCACCCCAGAACCTCTCCCCTTTGATTTGAACCAAGCTATTTCACCTGGGTCTTTATCTTCCTCATGTCTCAGAACTGGAACTTGCTGAATCACCTTTACAGCAGTGACAAAAACTGCTGCATCTCAAGCCTCTCTACCATACTGTCACAGGGGGCTTCTAGCATGTTCTATTACTACTCAAATAAAAATCTTCTCAAGACGCTTTTGTTGAATTACAAAACCATTTTTTTCTATAATATTTCATTGGCTATTTCCTTCAATCTCTGCTAATTCACCATCACCTGACTCATTAGGTATTTATGATCAGTGCTATCATCTATCTGGCTGCCTATCATCATCATCATCATCATCATCATCATCATCATCATCATCATCATTTCCATCATCTTCTATCTGTATTTTTTTTTATAGGCATGCCCAGTTTAGTATATCTGATGCTGATAACACATGGGACTTCTTGGGGTAGTGCCTTTACCATAATGTGAACCAAGTTCTTTTTAATTCTACTCATGTCTTGAAGAGACAATATTTGTGCATATGAACACTAAGAAAAAAGAAGCTAATAAATTTCATTGTATTGATGTTTATGATTTGACATTACTTTTTGATATCTTTAGTTGAAAATCAGACTTTTCAAATACCAAAAGTGGACTTTATGTTGATCATCCACTAATTAGCTTCCATAGAGATATCCAAATTTGTCAATGGAAACTACACTTCAAATGACTCTCCAGATGCTCATGGGAGTCGTGACTCATCTCCTAATCTCACGCTCCACACACAATCCATCTTCTTGACAATACCTTCAAAGCATATCCAGGCGCTGACAAATCCCTGTCACTTCTGCTGCTAGCCTGCTTCCATCTTCACCCTACGTTGTCCTTATCACTGACAGTGTATTCCCAACACAAACAGCAGACCTAGCCATTAAAGTGTGTCCAATGATACACTCCTCCTGGCAACGAGGCCAGGCCGGCCTTTTGGTTTGAACTGTCACATTTTCCCATGGACTATTTCTGTCTGTTGAACCTTCAATGCACCAATGCACGTCAACATTCTTTTTTTTTTTCCCCTTTCATTTTCTACATCGGCTACTCCATAGTAGTGTTTTATCTTTAGTTGTATTGCTTGGTCTGACTATAGCATGTTGGATTCACAGATTTTTATTGTTTCTTTCACTTCAGCATCTTCTGCATTTAGAGCAATGCTTCACACTGTTTTAATCCATATGTGTTTAGTAAATGACACCTATCCAAACTGAGAGCCTGGCTTTTACTCTCTTGCTCTGACATGATAGTTTAAAATTGGAGCAGTATAACACAAGGGTTCACATTTCCTATTTCCTGAACCAAGCTGTAATTAAAGTCAATGTAAATCTATTCCCACACATAGACATTGCTTCATATCATTCCATTAAACGAAGGGTTTCTCCTTATTTTCCCCATAGGTGGTTAGATATAGTTTATCTTTAAATTCGTGCATAAGTATACAGTATACAATTTTACTCTGATAGCAAAGGCTATGTGGCTTTTAATGAATCACCTAGAGATTGTTACTTACCTAAGGTGTTTTCATGAATGACTAAAATAATAGAATTAATTGATATTGACAAAATGAAGAATTTTAAAATACATTGTGTCATTCCTAAGAGATTATTGGGACGTCAAAATATAAGAGCCTACATGAAAATATATTTTGAGGAAATAGTGAATTATTAACATTGGGCTCCCATCATTGCCTCCTGTTTTGAAAAATGTCAGAAGCTTATCTGCTGCTAAGGCATGTACATACTCAGGGGCAGTGCAGGACACAAAACACTGTGAGTGGCAAGTATGCCTGCGTCCTCCCATTCTGTTTTATTTGATCTTTGTTCAGAAGAAAATGAGGTCCTTTTCTTTTATTCTTTTGCTTACTCTTTCCCCAACAGAATCTTTCTAAGGATTTCACAGAAATAAAGCACTAACATCTCCACCCCACTTCACGTACACCACCACAATGGCACATATATGAGCTACTATTACAGAACAATGTAGACAACAGCAGAATTAGATCACTTTCAAAAGTGTGTCTTTAGCCGGGCGGTGGTGGCGCACGCCTTTAATCCCAGCACTCGGGAGGCAGAGGCAGGCTGATCTCTGTGAGTTCGAGGCCAGCCTGGTCTACAGGGTGAGTTCCAGGAAAGGCACCAAACTACATGGAGAAACCCGTCTTTAAATAAAATGTAGAAATTCTGAAATTTCTTAACTGTGGATAGCACCACTTTAAATACTTCTTGAAAATTATAACCAACATGTTAGTTTCTTAAGCTCTTCTGCTCTAAAACGGATATGACTTTTTCCTTACATTGATTTTGTTTTTTTTTTCTTTTCAAAATTTCACATTTATGCCACTAAAAGATTGTTGTTTCTTTTCATCCATCTTTTATCAGCATCCATGATCTGCTCCCTGTTTCTGCCACACTTAGTCTTTCCTGCTTAATTATAAGTCCTTTTCCCTCTGTTTTCTATGCTATAGAATGATACAACTAGCCGCTTATGATTATCTAACTCAGATCTGTCAGAACCTTATAGGACACCCAAGAGGGTGTTATTTTATTGGAAATTGTCCAACATTTCTTATTCCTAAGAAAATAATATTATCATTTACCATTTATAGTATAAGAAGCATTGAAATATGTGTTTTCTTTACTATTTGAGGCAGAGGATGGGTATTATGTAGTACATATTTATACATATAAGAAATAAAATAGCATTAGTTAAAATATAAACATGAATAAAACATAAGCTTTAAGTCAGTAGAGCAATAAAATCATACGTAATATCCCTTCAACTTTTTAAATGGAAAACAGATTCTTCTCTCATATAATGCATCTGGACCACATTTTATCCTCTCTCAATACCTCCCTGTTCCCATCCACCTCCCGCCTCTGCATATCCACCCTGCCTCCACTTTCCTTCAGAAAAGAGCGGACCTCCAGGAGACAACAACCAAATATGACAAGATGAGAAGCAATAAGACAAGGCAAAAGCCC